CCCTCTTCTTCATGTCTCTTCTACATCAACATGTGTCCCCTCTTCTTCATGTCTCTTCTACATCAACATGTGTCCCCTCTTCTTCATGTCTCTTCTACATCAACATGTGTCCCCTCTTCTCATGTCTCTTCTACATCAACATGTGTCCCTCTTCTTCATGTCTCTTCTACATCAACATGTGTCCCCTCTTCTTCATGTCTCTTCTACATCAACATGTGTCCCCTCTTCTTCATGTCTCTTCTACATCAACATGTGTCCCTCTTCTTCATGTCTCTTCTACAATCAACAGTGTCCCCTCTTCTTCATGTCTCTTCTACATCAACATGTGTCCCCTCTCTTCATGTCTCTTCTACATCAACATGTGTCCCCTCTTCTTCATGTCTCTTCTACATCAACATGTGTCCCCTCTTCTTCATGTCTCTTCTACATCAACATGTGTCCCCTCTTCTTCATGTCTCTTCTACATCAACATGTGTCCCCTCTTCTTCATGTCTCTTCTACATCAACATGTGTCCCCTTCTTCATGTCTCTTCTACATCAACATGTGTCCCCTCTTCTTCATGTCTCTTCTACATCAACATGTGTCCCCTCTTCTTCATGTCTCTTCTACATCAACATGTGTCCCCTCTTCTTCATGTCTCTTCTACATCAACATGTGTCCCCTCTTCTTCATGTCTCTTCTACATCAACATGTGTCCCCTCTTCTTCTCATGTCTCTTCTACATCAACATGTGTCCCCTCTTCTTCATGTCTCTTCTACATCAACATGTGTCCCCTCTTCTTCATGTCTCTTCTACATCAACATGTGTCCCCTCTTCTTCATGTCTCTTCTACATCAACATGTGTCCCCTCTTCTTCATGTCTCTTCTACATCAACATGTGTCCCCTCTTCTTCATGTCTCTTCTACATCAACATGTGTCCCCTCTTCTTCATGTCTCTTCTACACATCAACATGTGTCCCCTCTTCTTCATGTCTCTTCTACATCAACATGTGTCCCCTCTTCTTCATGTCTCTTCTACATCAACATGGTCCCCTCTTTTTTCATGTCTCTTCTACATCAACATGTGTCCCCCTCTTCTTCATGTCTCTTCTACATCAACATGTGTCACCCTCTCTCTTCATGTCTCTTCTACACTCCACACATGTGTCCCTCTTCTCATTCTCTCTTAATCAACATGTGTCCCCTCTTCTTCATGTCTCTTCTCACTCAACATGTGTCCCCTCTTCTTCATGTCTCTTCTTCATCAACATGTGTCCCCCTCTGTGGGAAAGAGACTCTGAAAGTTTCAGGAACAAAGATTCTCTCTCTTTTTGATCCATTTCTATAAAAACCTGTCTGAAATGAGCTGATCAGATTTTGGCCACTTTATGATGTCATAACGATGTTTTGTCTTGGGTAACCATTAGCCAATCAGCAACCAAGGTAACCCCCCCCCCTTATACCTGAATCTCCTCCTTGAGCACCATTGTGTGCACTTTTGAAACAGGGCTGAAACAGAGGGGATTATGGGTAATGCTGCAATGATCTGTTTGGTGTTTCAGCCAATCAGAGACAGGCTCTGGATATATCTGAGACCTGTGATATATTGATGAAAAACAGTAGGATAGGCGACCTTTAAATGGTTCACTGAGAACCTGCACACTCGTCTGTGTTGGATAGGCGTGTGTGATACATGTTGAGATCCTAGATGTTTCCCCTCGTGTCCTTTGTGTGATTGTGATGTGCTATATGTGACATGTACGTAGTAACGTGTGTTTGCATTTCATTGTTCTCTTGTATCCTTGCGCCTCTATCTACTTGTCTTTATAACTAATGCTGTTGATGTGATTTTAAAAAGGTGTCTATTATCATCTGGCCGGGGACAACAGCTGGAAATGAGCAATGTTGGCTAAAGCTGCTCCATTTACAGTTCTTTGTGGCAGTTGATCGATGGGGACTGACCACGACACTTTAAACAAATAAACTAAATCTACCAGTGGGGTTTTACTGACGTATTTTATGCCGTAAATAGACAAAAAACAACAACACTCAGCTGTACTACAACTCAGCAAACAGTCCTCACCTCCAAACCCCTTGCTGTGCTTCTTGTCCTTCCCACTTTTCTCCTTGTCTCGGTCTTTTTCCTTGTCCTTCTTCTTCTTGCTCTTTTTGCTCTTCTTCTTCTTCTTGGACAGGTGTGTGTACGAATCGTCTATAACCAGTTCACCGGCCTCCAGTTCTGCCCCAGAGGAAGAGCTGTCGTCTCCCATGCCTCCTCCGTAATGACCTGAGTAGCAGAGAACACAGTAAGGATTATTAATTACAAAACAAAACGTGGGGTAGGGCTGTTCAATTAATCGTATTTTAATCGCGATGACGATTATGGCTTTCAACGATTCCGAAAACAACGTAATCGAAATAAAAATTATTTATTTATATATGTTTTTAGTTTTTCAGTTGAATTATACTTAAAGTTCAGGGTAATCAACTGTTAAAAACATACTGTTAAACATTTTTTTTTCAATACATGGATGTTTTCAAAGTCAATGAATAATCACATTTAATAAACGCAATCACAATTATTGACCCAAATAATCGAGATTATGATTTTTGCCATAATCGAGCAGCCCTAACATGGGGTATACATACTTTTACTATGGGTGCACCAATGCTATCAGTAGTACAGTAGCAATATATGTACTAATACAGCTCTTTACTTTCAGCTATAACCAATCTGCTGTGTTCACACCAAATGCAAAGAAAATGTCACCTTGGCAATGACAGGTGCCCAAAGACGGATGCAATACTTTTGATTTATTTATGATTCAAAAGTCATAATGATAGGCTTTTGTGGCAAAGTGTCACACAGGTTCAAAGATTCCAACCTGCCGGGGCGGCTAGCAGAGAACAATGCAGCACAGGCAGCATGTAGAGACACTACATACTGATATACACCTGAACATCAGCAGGAGAGGACTCTTTAAAGTAGAGACACTACATACTGATATACACCTGAACATCAGCAGGAGAGGACTCTTTAAAGTAGAGACACTACATACTGATATACACCTGAACATCAGCAGGAGAGGACTCTTTAAAGTAGAGACACTACATACTGATATACACCTGAACATCAGCAGGAGAGGACTCTTTAAAGTAGAGACACTACATACTGATATACACCTGAACATCAGCAGGAGAGGACTCTTTAAAGTAGAGACACTACATACTGATATACACCTGAACATCAGCAGGAGAGGACTCTTTAAAGTAGAGACACTACATACTGATATACACCTGAACATCAGCAGGAGAGGACTCTTTAAAGTAGAGACACTACATACTGATATACACCTGAACATCAGCAGGAGAGGACTCTTTAAAGTAGAGACACTACATACTGATATAACACCTGAACATCAGCAGGAGAGGACTCTTTAAAGTAGAGACACTACATACTGATATACACCTGAACATCAGCAGGAGAGGACTCTTTAAAGTAGAGACACTACATACTGATATACACCTGAACATCAGCAGAGAGGACTCTTTAAAGTAGAGACACTACATACTGATATACACCTGAACATCAGCAGGAGAGGACTCTTTAAAGTAGAGACACTACATACTGAAATACACCTGAACATCAGCAGGAGAGGACTCTTTAAAGTAGAGACACTACATACTGATATACACCTGAACATCAGCAGGAGAGGACTCTTTAAAGTAGAGACACTACATACTGATATACACCTGAACATCAGCAGGAGAGGACTCTTTAAAGTAGAGACACTACATACTGATATACACCTGAACATCAGCAGGAGAGGACTCTTTAAAGTGGAGACACTACATACTGATATACACCTGAACATCAGCAGGAGAGGACTCTTTAAAGTAGAGACACTACATACTGATATACACCTGAACATCAGCAGGAGAGGACTCTTTAAAGTAGAGACACTACATACTGATATACACCTGAACATCAGCAGGAGAGGACTCTTTAAAGTAGAGACACTACATACTGATATACACCTGAACATCAGCAGGAGAGGACTCTTAAAGTAGAGACACTACATACTGATATACACCTGAACATCAGCAGGAGAGGACTCTTTAAAGTAGAGACACTACATACTGATATACACCTGAACATCAGCAGTGAAGACTCTTTAAAGTAGAGACACTACATACTGATATACACCTGAACATCAGCAGGAGAGGACTTTTTAAAGTAGAGACACTACATACTGATATACACCTGAACAATCAGCAGCAGAGGACCTTTAAAGTAGAGACACTACATACTGATATACACCTGAACATCAGCAGGAGAGGACTCTTTAAGTAGAGACCCTACATACTGATATACACCTGAACATCAGCAGGAGGGACCTTAAAGTAGAGACACTACATAACAGAGAATATACACCTGAACATCATCAGGAAGAGGACTCTATAAAGTAGAGACACTACATACTGATATACACCCTGAACATCAGCAGGAGAGGACTCTTTAAAGGTAGAGACACTACATACTGGATATACACCTGACATCAGCAGGAAGGACTCTTTAAAGTAGAGACACTACATACTGATATACACCTGAACATCAGCAGGAGAGGACTCTTTAAAGTAGAGACCTACATACTGATATACACCTGAACATCAGCAGGAGAGGACTCTTTAAAGTAGAGACACTACATCTGATATACACCCTGAACATCAGCAGGAGAGGACTCTTTAAAGTAGAGACACTACATACTGATATACACCTGAACATCAGCAGGAGAGGACTCTTTAAAGTAGAGACACTACATACTGATATACACCTGAACATCAGCAGGAGAGGACTCTTAAAGTAGAGACACTACATACTGATATACACCTGAACATCAGCAGGAGAGGACTCTTTAAAGTAGAGACACTATACTGATATACACCTGAACATCAGCAGGAGAGGACTCTTTAAAGTAGAGACACTACATACTGATATACACCTGAACATCAGCAGGAGAGGACTCTTTAAAGTAGAGACACTACATACTGATATACACCTGAACATCAGCAGGAGAGGACTCTTTAAAGTAGAGACACTACATACTGATATACACCTGAACATCAGCAGGAGAGGACTCTTTAAAGTAGAGACACTACATACTGATATACACCTGAACATCAGCAGGAGAGGACTCTTTAAAGTAGAGACACTACATACTGATATACACCTGAACATCAGCAGGAGAGGACTCTTTAAAGTAGAGACACTACATACTGATATACACCTGAACATCAGCAGCAGAGGACTCTTTAAAGTAGAGACACTACATACTGATATACACCTGAACATCAGCAGGAGAGGACTCTTTAAAGTAGAGACACTACATACTGATATACACCTGAACATCAGCAGGAGAGGACTCTTTAAAGTAGAGACACTACATACTGATATACACCTGAACATCAGCAGGAGAGGACTCTTTAAAGTAGAGACACTACATACTGATATACACCTGAACATCAGCAGGAGAGGACTCTTTAAAGTAGAGACACTACATACTGGATATACACCTGAACATCAGCAGGAGAGGACTCTTTAAAGTAGAGACACTACATACTGATATACACTGAACATCAGCAGGAGAGGACTCTTTAAAGTAGAGACACTACATACTGATATTACACCTGAACATCAGCAGGAGAGGACTCTTTAAAGTAGAGACACTACATACTGATATACACCTGAACATCAGCAGGAGAGGACTCTTTAAAGTAGAGACACTACATACTGATATACACCTGAACATCAGCAGGAGAGGACTCTTTAAAGTAGAGACACTACATACTGATATACACCTGAACATCAGCAGGAGAGGACTCTTTAAAGTAGAGACACTACATACTGATATACACCTGAACATCAGCAGCAGAGGACTCTTTAAAGTAGAGACACTACATACTGATATACACCTGAACATCAGCAGGAGAGGACTCTTTAAAGTAGAGACCCTACATACTGATATACACCTGAACATCAGCAGGAGAGGACTCTTTAAAGTAGAGACACTACATACTGATATACACCTGAACATCAGCAGGAGAGGACTCTTTAAAGTAGAGACACTACATACTGATATACACCTGAACATCAGCAGGAGAGGGACTCTTTAAAGTAGAGACACTACATACTGATATACACCTGAACATCAGCAGGAGAGGACTTTTTAAAGTAGAGACACTACATACTGATATACACCTGAACATCAGCAGCAGAGGACTCTTTAAAGTAGAGACACTACATACTGATATACACCTGAACATCAGCAGGAGAGGACTCTTTAAAGTAGAGACCCTACATACTGATATACACCTGAACATCAGCAGGAGAGGACTCTTTAAAGTAGAGACACTACATACTGATATACACCTGAACATCAGCAGGAGAGGACTCTTTAAAGTAGAGACACTACATACTGATATACACCTGAACATCAGCAGGAGAGGACTCTTTAAAGTAGAGACACTACATACTGATATACACCTGAACATCAGCAGCAGAGGACTCTTTAAAGTAGAGACACTACATACTGATATACACCTGAACATCAGCAGGAGAGGACTCTTTAAAGTAGAGACACTACATACTGATATACACCTGAACATCAGCAGGAGAGGACTCTTTAAAGTGGAGACACTACATACTGATATACACCTGAACATCAGCAGGAGAGGACTCTTTAAAGTAGAGACACTACATACTGATATACACCTGAACATCAGCAGGAGAGGACTCTTTAAAGTAGAGACACTACATACTGATATACACCTGAACATCAGCAGGAGAGGACTCTTTAAAGTAGAGACACTACATACAGATATACACCTGAACATCAGCAGGAGAGGACTCTTTAAAGTAGAGACACTACATACTGATATACACCTGAACATCAGCAGGAGAGGACTCTTTAAAGTAGAGATACTACATACTGATATACACCTGAACATCAGCAGGAGAGGACTCTTTAAAGTAGAGACACTACATACTGATATACACCTGAACATCAGCAGGAGAGAACTCTTTAAAGTAGAGACACTACATACTGATATACACCTGAACATCAGCAGGAGAGGACTCTTTAAAGTAGAGACACTACATACTGATATACACCTGAACATCAGCAGGAGAGGACTCTTTAAAGTAGAGACACTACATACTGATATACACCTGAACATCAGCAGGAGAGGACTCTTTAAAGTGGAGACACTACATACTGATATACACCCTAACATCAGCAGGAGAGGACTCTTTAAAGTAGAGACACTACATACTGATATACACCTGAACATCAGCAGGAGAGGACTCTTTAAAGTAGAGACACTACATACTGATATACACCTGAACATCAGCAGGAGAGGACTCTTTAAAGTAGAGACACTACATACTGATATACACCTGAACATCAGCAGGAGAGGACTCTTTAAAGTGGAGACACTACATACTGATATACACCTGAACATCAGCATGAGAGGACTCTTTAAAGAGTAGAGACACTACATACTGATATACACCTGAACATCAGCAGGAGAGGACTCTTTAAAGTAGAGACACTACATACTGATATACACCTGAACATCAGCAAGGAGAGGACTCTTTAAGTAGAGACACTACATACTGATATACACCTGAACATCAGCAGGAGAGGACTCTTTAAAGTAGAGACACTACATACTGATATACACCTGAACATCAGCAGGAGAGGACTCTTTAAAGTAAGAGACACTACATACTGATATACACATGAACATCAGCAGGAGAGGACTCTTTAAAGTAGAGACACTACATACTGATATACACCTGAACATCAGCAGGAGAGGACTCTTTAAAGTAGAGACACTACATACTGATATACACCTGAACATCAGCAGGAGAGGACTCTTTAAAGTAGAGACACTACATACTGATATACACCTGAACATCAGCAGGAGAGGACTCTTTAAAGTAAGAGACACTACATACTGATATACACCTGAACATCAGCAGGAGAGGACTCTTTAAAGTAGAGACACTACATACTGATATACACCTGAACATCAGCAGGAGAGGACTCTTTAAAGTAGAGACACTACATACTGATATACACCTGAACATCAGCAGGAGAGGACTCTTTAAAGTAGAGACACTACATACTGATATACACCTGAACATCAGCAGGAGAGGACTCTTTAAAGTAGAGACACTACATACTGATATACACCTGAACATCAGCAGGAGAGGACTCTTTAAAGTAGAGACACTACATACTGATATACACCTGAACATCAGCAGGAGAGGACTCTTTAAAGTAGAGACACTACATACTGATATACACCTGAACATCAGCAGGAGAGGACTCTTTAAAGTAGAGACACTACATACTGATATACACCTGAACATCAGCAGGAGAGGACTCTTTAAAGTAGAGACACTACATACTGATATACACCTGAACATCAGCAGGAGAGGACTCTTTAAAGTAGAGACACTACATACTGATATACACCTGAACATCAGCAGGAGAGGACTCTTTAAAGTAGAGACACTACATACTGATATACACCTGAACATCAGCAGGAGAGGACTCTTTAAAGTAGAGACACTACATACTGATATACACCTGAACATCAGCAGGAGAGGACTCTTTAAAGTAGAGACACTACATACTGATATACACCTGAACAATCAGCAGGAGAGGACTCTTTAAAGTAGAGACACTACATACTGATATACACCTGAACATCAGCAGGCAGAGGACTCTTTAAAGTAGAGACACTACATACTGATATACACCTGAACATCAGCAGGAGAGGAACTCTTTAAAGTAGAGACACTACATACTGATATACACCTGAACATCAGCAGGAGAGGACTCTTTAAAGAAGAGACAACTACATACTGATATACACCTGAACATCAGCAGGAGAGGACTCTTTAAAGTAGAGACACTACATACTGATATACACCTGAACATCAGCAGGAGAGGACTCTTTAAAGTAGAGACACTACATACTGATATACACCTGAACATCAGCAGGAGAGGACTCTTTAAAGTAGAGACACTACATACTGATATACACCTGAACATCAACAGGAGAGAACTCTTTAAAGTAGAGACACTACATACTGATATACACCTGAACATCAGCAGGAGAGGACTCTTTAAAGTAGAGACACTACATACTGATATACACCTGAACATCAGCAGGAGAGGACTCTTTAAAGTAGAGACACTACATACTGATATACACCTGATCATCAGCAGGAGAGGACTCTTTAAAGTAGAGACACTACATACTGATACACCTGAACATCAGCAGGGACAGGACTCTTTAAAGTAGAGACACTACATACTGATATACACCTGAACATCAGCAGGAGAGGACTCTTTAAAGTAGAGACACTACATACTGATATACACCTGAACAATCAGCAGGAGAGGACTCTTTAAAGTAGAGACACTACATACTGATATACACCTGAACATCAGCAGGAGAGGACTCTTTAAAGTAGAGACACTACATACTGATATACACCTGAACATCAGCAGGAGAGGACTCTTTAAAGTAGAGACACTACATACTGATATACACCTGAACATCAGCAGGAGAGGACTCTTTAAAGTAGAGACACTACATACTGATATACACCTGAACATCAGCAGGAGAGGACTCTTTAAAGTAGAGACACTATATACTGATATACTACTGAACATCAGCAGGAGAGGACTCTTTAAAGTAGAGACACTACATACTGATATACACCTGAACATCAGCAGGAGAGGACTCTTTAAAGTAGAGACACTACATACTGATATACACCTGAACATCAGCAGGAGAGGACTCTTTAAAGTAGAGACTCCAGCCTATCTAAAAACAACATTATTTAGATGTATCTTACCCTCCACCTCCACCTCTTTCCCCACCACAGGCAGTGGATCTCTGCTCTGCTGGACTTTCTTCTTGGGCGTCTTCGAGTGCTGCGTCCGGTCTCTGTCCTTCTCCTTCTTCCCGCCTCCTTTAGACGAGTGAGGAGGCGGGAACGGGAACGTCTCTCCTTCCTCTTTCTCCGGCGACATGATGAGCTTCATCTTCAGCCCGTCGGCCTCCCGCAGCGTCAGCGGCTCCTCTTTGGGGGCGCCGCCGTGAAACAGGGACGACTTTGAGGAGGAGGAGGAGTGCTTCTTTGAGGAGGAGGAAGAGGATGGAGGACGGTTGTGAGAGAAGGAATGGCTGCCTTTGCTTCCTCCGCCGCCGCCGCTGCTGCTCTCACGCTTACGGTCCTTGGAGGAGTGCGAGGAGAAAGGAGGGTACGAGGGTTTCTTGTGTAAATGGGGGCTGGGGTCTGAACCGGTGGCCAGAGGGGAGGTGATGGCCTGCAGGAGGCCCATCGCTGTGTCTGTTGGGAGGGAGGAGGAGGGGGAGGACATGGGGGAGCGGTCTGCAGATTTGTGCTTCTTCTTGTGGGAAGGAGGGCCATCGTGGTCTGAAACAGGGACGACAAAAAGAAAAGTTAATACAGATGCCGAGTGTTTTGATAAGATGGAGCTTTATTAATCCCCGTGGGGAAATTCAGCAGCAGACGATGCAACTGTAACGGAGATAAATGTGTTTGTAACCAAAAAAAACACCAAACTCAGGGACAGTTTCATCCAGTGTTTCCTCCAGACCAGGGCTGAGAGGGCGTCCACCCCGAGAGCGCGTTTTAAAAAAACTTTTCTTTTGTTCTTGTGTCTCAGTCATCCACACCAATCAGAAGTGCTGTGCTCCACATGTACCAGCCATTGATAACCAATCAGAAGCGGCCCCTGATAGAAGCTGATAGACAGATTGATCCAATCACCTGCCAAGTATTTTTGAAAGTGCCTGCCCTTTCCAAATGGCTTCCAATGGAGCTCTAGATGCTTTGGTGAAACAAAGCATCTGGGTCAGGTTAGTGATGCTCCATCACATGTTTCTATTACAGGGTGAATCTTAAACTGAAGCTTGACTTTAAAGCAACGGAAGCTTCATGTAAGTTTAGTTCTGTCACTCGTAGCTCAGGCTGCGGGGGTGCTGGAGACGGGAGCACGTTGATACGACCTTCCTAGCCGGAGTTATGGCCGCATTTTACAATAAACTTCCGTTGGGTCCTTAAAAACAAATATCGCAAATCGAATCGCAATATCTGTCAGAAAAATCACAATTAGATTTTTCCCCAAAATCGTGCAACACACACACACACACACACAACACACACACACACACACACACACACACACACACACACACACACACACACACACACACACACACACACACACACACACACACACACACACACACACACACACCACACACACACACACACACACACACACACACACACACACACACACACACACACACACACACCACACACACACACACACACACACACACACACACACACACACACACACACACACACACAGTCCTTGGAAGATGCGGCAGGAACAGGCTTTGCTGGCGGTGAAAATAATCCCACCGGCCTCCTTTGCCCCTCCAACAGAGGGATGTCCTTTTTCCTTTTCGTCATTTCAAGCGATAAAAACTCTCGATCTTCTCTCAAATTATAACATTTTGTGGACGCCCTCGGCTCGAGTTCAGGGCGTTCCGAGCTGAATAAGAGCGTCAAATGACGGCGAGACGCCCCCCTGGCGGAAACGCTGGTTTCATCCCACAGGCCATTTTGAAAGAACATCCATAACATTCATCTGTTTGCAACTCATATATCCATATTCCAATTGCTGTATATAGACTATTCTGCACTGTTTCTATTATATTCTATTTGATCTGTTTCATTGTGTTGCACTGTGGGAGGAGCCTGTGACCTAAGATGTTCATCGTCATAACCACACTATGCACACATGACCAATAAAAGCCTTGAACCTTGAGGTATCATCCTCTCACCTCTGTAGTAGTAGTCATCGCTGTGTTTCTTCTTCTTCTTGTGCGAGTCTCCTCCGAGCATGAACAGCTCTGAATCCTGAATTGAAATGACACAATTGCTTTTTATTTCACCACCAGTGAGTTTAAACGATTACAAAGTGTTATAACGGCATAATTAGTGGCATAATGTCTTTGAGGCTTTCTGTGATTTGAGGTCAATGTAACGTGGAAAGTCGACTTACTTTTGGGCGCTTCTTGGAAGACTTCCGGACCTGAGCAGCGATCTCCTCTTCCTCCCTCAACAGATCCTTGTAGGACCTCCTCTTCTCTCTCTGGCTCCGACCGGCTACAAGGCCTCTTTCTCCGTCCATCACCATATCTACAATAGATTCACTGAGTATTATTTACTTAAAAAAATAAAGATTGTATGAAACACAGATTCTATAAAGGCTATTATACGTGTCATATCCTGTGCAAATTATATAAATATAACTGTGAAAAATGGCCTGTTTGATAAGCCTTTACTAGATGTAATTTACAGGCAGATATTATTACCCATTCCTCCTTTACTCTTGATCTCCTCAAAAGCCATAGCCCCTCTTCCGTCAACACGTCGATCCGTCACAGAACGTCAATGACAACATAAGGCAGGATCCAGACCTGTAAAGTGAAAAGAGAATTAAAGTTAAAGTATTGAATATATAAAATATCTATTCTGGACAAAAACAATCAGTTCAACATTACACAAAAACAAGGCTACACATTCTTCATAATGTAACGTTACCTAGACGCTACGACTAAATAGGGCAGCTACTCCCAGTGGTGTAAAGTAACTAAGTACATTTACTCAAGTACACTTTGGGGACACTTGTACTTTACTCGAGTATCTAACCCCACTACAGTTCAGAGGTAAATGGTGTACTTTTCCTCCACTACATGTATTTAATACCTTTAGTTACTTCACAGATCTGGATGAATGATGTGAAATCTAATCAAGTGTTGAATCAGACTTTAGTTCCACCTGGAGTAAATCCACCAGCTACCCTGCAGTATACAAAGTCATTCAGACTAGCTGCACCTTCACCAGCTTTGAGAACACTTTCATGATCAATCATTATAAAACACATCATATATATTATTCTGAAATGGACCAATCTGCACAACGACTACTTTCACTGTCACTACTTTCACTATATTTTGATGACAATACTTTTCTACTTTTACTTGAGGAACATTTTGAATGCAGGACTTTTACTGTAACAGAGTATTCCTACACTCTGGTACTTCTAATTTTACTCAAGCACAAGATCTGAGTACTTCTACTTTTACTCAAGTACAAGATCTGAGTACTTCTACTTTTATTCAATTACAAGATCTGTGTACTTGTGCTTTTACTCAAGTACAAGATCTGAGTACTTCCACTTTTATTCAATTACAAGATCTGTGTACTTGTGCTTTTACTCAAGTACAAGATCTGAGTACTTCTCCCACCTCTGCAGGATATAAACAAAGTCCATAGGGGTTGCTATTCCTGCTGATCTGGAGCTGCAGGTGTCCTGGACAAAACGCTGTTCTAAAGTGCTCATTGATTGATGCTTCTTGAGGATAAACACTAGTAAAAATACAAAAAGAATGTGGTCTGTTAACTACAAAGGAGTTAGATAAATTATAGCTAATAACAAACTCCCGCCTCCTTTCGTAAAGATACACAAACACACCCCTTCTCCATTCACTTGGACTCCCAACATCTCCACCACTCAGATCCGTGTCGCTGAGCAACCCCCCAGTTGTTCGGGATAAACAACGCAGGCAAACCCGAGGCTTATAACCACAGCTAGGCCGCGGGTGTTAAAAGTGCATACAATAATGAGGCAAGCATGCATTCAACTCTACTCAGGTCTTCACGTGCTCTGGGGTTATAGCCTGTGTTGTTTGTAAACCCGAGAAAGAGAGGGAATAACGTGTGTATTTGAAATGTACTACCTTCTAGAGCTCCAATTTACGCGGGTCGAGTCGCCATCTTTTATTTTTGAGATTGCAACAATACGTGTGGACGTAGGGGGCGGGGTTTGGTGATGCAGCCAATCAGAGGAGGGGGAAAATAGCCGTTTCCGTAATGCATTCGCTGAAGAACTACAAACTACAAAAAGCGCTAATTTGACATGTTGATATTCAAATAAATACGTATATATTTATATATATTTAAGTGCCTTATTTATGTTTAAATATGTAGTATTTATCAATTTACATTTTAATGGTTTATTATACAAAATGTTTAAATGTTTTTATTTATTTCTGTCTATATTTATAGTGTCTTGTATATTTGACCTTACATGCTAAATGCAATGTTAGCTGCATCCTGTGTATGAAAAGTCAGAAGTGCTATACAAATGATAAGTAAAACACATTTCAACAAATATTCTTATTTATACTTCGCCTATTCCTGCATTTCAACTATTTCAACACACCTGATCCCATTCCTCAGCAGTTTTGTTATTTTGAATATTAATTTATATTTTAGTCCACATACCTTTTACAAATTGTAAAAAGTAAAAATGTGCAATAAAAAATAGATATTTATTGTTAAAGGTCCCATGACATGGCCATTTCTACTGATCATAATTCCATTGTTGAGGTCTACTCAAATACATGTATATTGTGCAATGTTCCAAACTCACATTGGTTTCTCATACAGCATCTCTGTAAAGTATGTGTATTCACTCTCTGTCCTAAACGGCTTGTTGGAGCTCCTGCTGGGACCTTTAATACGTTTTCTTTATTTAAGCATGGGCCTGCAACATGACCCTATTTACCCCTGGGATCAATAAGGTATTTGTAATCCATTCTTCATAACATTGTATTAAAGACAATATTTCACCAGTATAGCCAAACATATTGATTTATTGAGTCAAATCAATTCTCCAACAACTATCAAGTCATTTCTTTACAGTACGCTTCACAAACATGACATGCAGTACGAGAGAAAAGGCAACAGAGACGCTGTTCATAACGAAAACCAGAAAACAACAGTGAAAACTGTTTGAGTGAAAAACACGACTCATAATTATCCTGCAGGCAAAAAGAGAACACAAAGACACAGCCGTGACACACACACACACACACACACACACACACACACACACACACACACACACACACACACACACACACACACACACACACACACACACACACACACACACACACACACGCTCCCTCTCCAGACACACACGAGAGTGACATCCCCGCTGCATTCTGCATCTGTTCCACTAGCGCTTCCTTCTCGATGCATTTCTCCCAGAGGGGATTCTTTTGTCCTTTTTATCTAAAAAACAATGGGATCAATAAAGTACTTATCTTATCTTATGTGAAACCTTTTCCTGTCCATTAGCTTAATGGATATCTACCACACTGCAGTACTGGGCTTTAACATTTGACTTTTTGTTTTATTTTAACCAATAAGAAGCTTTATGTTAGCCAGTATTGAGAGAAACACCCGGCATCATTAAGAATTAGGTTGAGGCTCGTGGAGCAGAGGCGTTGTTGAAAAGCAGCTGGACGTTAACTCTCTTCTCACTTCATCTTCTACCGATCCCCCAAATTCTGTTTCTGTAGACTGAGTGATGTGAAGCTGGCCAACAGATCCGTCACCTCGTCCACCTGGAAAAGAAAGGAATAGATATACAGTTATGTACAAGTAAAATATAAGTCAATTCAATTCGAAAATAATCGATATGTGCAAATCACAAGGCGCACATTTAAGTTACATCATAAATATGAACTTGTATTATTTCAAAATGCAAACTTGTTTACATTTAATATAATTAAAATAAATAAAATTAGCATTGGTTATCGTGTGCCTCGAATTCAAACACGAAAAACGTAATCAATTATAAAAAAAACAGCCCAAATAATTTGGAATAACTTGAAATAAATAAAGATTCAGAACAAAAATAATCATATTGAGAGGGAGAAACATATATATATATATATATATATATGTTTTATTCTATAAACAAATAAATTAAAAAAAGTAAATAATAACCTGAATTCTTATACATTGAAAATAAATAAAAAATCATACAAATAATAATCATATGAAGGGGGGAAATACATGTTAAAAAAATACAAAATAAAAACATAAAAACAGCAGAAATAATCAATAAATGAATGTAAACATTGTAGCTTGTTGACCTGCTCTTTGGTGCGCGTGTGCTGAAGCTGAGTGGAGATGTGCTCCAGCCTCTCTTTAGCTTCGCTCTGACCCATCAGGTTCAGATACTCCCTCAGCATCTGGATGATCTGCAGGGAAAGACACGTATAAACATCTGGATGATCTGCAGGGAAAGACACGTATAAACATCTGGATGATCTGCAGGGAAAGACACGTATAAACATCTGGACGATCTGCAGGGAAAGACACGTATAAACTAATGCTGTCAAAATTATCGCGTTAACGGCGGTAATTAATTTTTTGAATTAATTGCGTTAAAATATTTAACGCATTTAACGCATGTGCAGAATGGCCCGCCCCATACATCACACCAGTGGCAGCGCCAGGGTATGGCTGGGGTAGGCTACACCCATACCAAGAAATGGCTTAGCCACACCATGAAAAATGATGTTAAAGGAAGCAAAATAAAGTCCGCCAACTCGCGGAGTAAATTGCACAGACAGCAGTTAGTAAGATTGATTTCAGTAGCCACTTCCAAATACCGAAGACCAGAAACGGTTTTGAAAACTTTTGTCACGTAGTGATCGTCTTCTCAATAGAACATCTTTGATAATGTCTTCTGGCCAATCAGAATCAAGATAACGGCGTGGTGTTGTTGCAGGAAGTCCCGACGGAGAATACTTTTGCTGTAGTACAGCAAGCCCCCAGGAAGTGCGCCGGACTCAGATGAAAATATTCGTGCTGGCCAAATGGCGGTACTACACTTCCGTTTGGTTGCCAGGCCCGGAAACACTTTTTCCCATTGACTTACATGGGGAAAGAGTGGTCTGTAAATCGTTGGATAATTTTTTTTAAACTAAATAAACTACCCAGTATGAACACTTGTATAGCCCTTATTAAAATCATTCGTTCCTCAAGTTGTAAAAATTTGCTAATAACGTTATTCTGAGAGTTATTTCCCTCTGCATTATGAACGCACATCTAACCCACGGGACCGCGCCGCCCGGCACGTTCATGTTACGTGTCCCGACCAATCAGAGCACACTGTGCTCACAGGGAGGGTGGGGCTGGAGCTATTGGAGCTACAACGAGCCGTTAAAGGCAGAGTGTGAAATTCAGTGAATACACGTAGTTTACAGAGATGCTGTATGAGGAACCAATGTGAGTTGCGTTTATCTTTACCCATGGATAAGAACGGATCCATATCGTCTTACTGCCATCCCACGGATCTGTAATAATGGATATATTGCACATGTTTGCTGTAATTCATTATCATACATGGGCTGTATGATTAAATCTTGTACCGTAAATGTTGTATTAAATAAAGTTAATATTACCGACATTATTAACGTCCCTGTAGCTTCGTATTGCACTAAGAAGCTTATTGCACTGTATATAAATATATATATATACAGCGCAATAATTATTTCATGCTAAATGAAGCTCTGTTGGATATCACTAGATCCTGTTACAGCGTAATATAAGTACATAACGATTGATGTGTACATTAGCATCATTACTAGCTAGCCGCTAGCTGCTAACTGCCGCCTCGTTCATATCAAATCCATGATAACAACAATCCATTACCATGCTGTCATGAACGCTCGGTGCTGTTACGTGTACAAAAATTGACGTGCTTGATGTGAACGAGCATTTTGGTTAAAGTTGCGCATGCTCTATGAGTGCACATACGGGTACTTCTCAGGCATGCCGGGTAATCTGTGACGTTTCACTCTCTCAAAAGGTGGGCCATTTTATCATCATGTGCTAATGAGCAGCTCTCATAGGAATGAATGAGGCCCCGCCTCCCACGCTGTATCCAGTTCTTATTATACATCCATGTAGTACAGGGGTGCACATAACTGGTACGCAGGTTATGTGCGTAATCTGAAATGCGTACCGTAACTTGTGTCACAAAGCGCATTTGCGTACCGACGTACTTGTGAAGTTTTTCCAGAAGGCGGTTAGATCACCGGACGACAGAGTCGGTCTCCGTGTGCACAGACAGGGCTGCTGTTAACGTCGGTCTGTACAACGGAATTGTGCCAAAACTACGCCAACCGGCTACGGAGGGAGACTCCCCCCCCCTTCACTGGAGAACTGCGCTAAAACAGCTGATCACAACGTTCACACCAGGTTCACACTCTCTGGTCACGAACATAAGGCGCATTCACACTGCGGTACTTTTCCCACAAAGGTTCATGTGAACTTAGTTCATGTGAACTCTTTTATCGCGTTCACACCAAAAAGAGCCGGTACTAAAATTAGTTCATGTGAACCTTTTTACCCGCACGAAAGTCCCTGCTAGAGAGCAGGGACTTTCGAGAGGCTCTTTTGTGAGAAAAGAGCTACATTTCTGATTGGCTGGGCGGGTTGCAAACCACGCCCCGCAAAACTCCCAAAAAGTTTTGTGAAGCCGCCATTTTATTATCCTCGCATTAGCATTATTAGCATTAGCATTAGCCCAGCGCAGAAACGCAGAGAGACTAACTTATGGCAACACAAAATAAAACATGGGAGCGGTGGAGATGAGGAGGTGTCGGCGTTCTGGCGATTTACTCGGAAGGCTTCAGTAGAAGCTGCTGGGACTCCCAGCAGCTTCTACTGAAGCCAGTCCCCAACTCCGGGGACTTCCGACCGGGGACTTTGGGCGGCAGTAAACGCCTTGAAGTGGTTTGCGGCCTGCCAGTAAGCCCAAAGCAGAAGAAGAACAAGTGACGTCAGCGGCTTCATTTGCCTAATCGTTCATTCCAGTGTGAACGCGATCTGTACTTAGTTCATGCGAACTAAAGAGTTCTCATGAACTAAGTTCACATGAACCTTTGTGGGAAAGTACCGCAGTGTGAATGCGCCTATGGGTCACGAAGTACTCCACTAGCCCCCCCCCCCCCCCTGTCGACTTTCCTGAAGTACTCCCCCGTTGATAGAAATCAACACGTAATGAATTAAGACCCCACGGTTTGATGATTGATAGGTGTGTGGGCTGTCTTTCATTTTGACACGCAGAAACATGTTATAATAAACATAGATACTGTATGTTAAATGGATATATCCGCCTTCTTTCATTTATCTTTCCATTCCCACAACAATATACATAAATAAATGGCATATTTTGGACATAGGTGATTAAATGGTGATTAATCATGATTAATTAATTTTTAAACTGTGATTAATCTGATTACAATATTTAATCGTTTGACAGCCCTAGTAGCCTATAAACATCTGGATGATCTGCAGGGAAAGACACGTATAAACATCTGGCTTTCTTAAAAACTAACTACCGTATTTTCCGGACTATACAGTCTATATGTTTAACAGCGACTCTATAAATACAGTTAGAATTCCGAGTGGCTAAGCTAATTAGCGGCTAGGCTAATTAGCGTATTAGTATTATGTGCCGTAGCTCATTGTGTGGATTATTTTGTTCTGTGATAGTGAGACACAGCGACACAGAGGATGAAGACTTCAGTGGATAAATGCGACTTATAGACCGAAGCGACTTATATATGTTTTTTTTTGTTTTGACAAGAGCGACTTGTACTCAGGTGCGACTTGTAGTCCGGAAAATACGGTAAACTAAAACCACCAGACTCAGGGACAGTTCCATCCCACAGGCCATTGACTGTTAAACACCTGCACTTTGAAAGAACATCCATATCATTCATCTGTTTGCAATTTACCCTTTACCTTACCCTTTACCTTTACCTTACCCTTTACCTTTACCTTACCCTTTACCTCAGCCACATCATAGACTCTATGCATTACATTAATGCACACAATGTACAATAATATCTGCTTTCTTTTCTTATTGCTGCCGATGTTTTATTTGTATTCCATATTTTTATTCCCATTGCAATGTAAATACTGTTATATTTAACTATATTTTTTATTATTTTTTATATTTTTCTAGTTCTCTATCTGTGTTTTCATTTTTGTTTTACTTCTATGTATGCACCACGACACCAAGTCAAATTCCTCGTACGTGTAAACCTGGTTATAAACCTGATTCTGATTCAATATGCCAATGACTAATATGTAGACTATTCGGCACTATTTCTATTATATTCTATTTTATTTTATCTACTTGTGCTATTTTATCTGTTTTATTGTGTTGCTGTTGGAGGAGCCTGTGACCTAAGGTTTTCATTGACATATCTACACTGTAGCTAATGTACAAATGACAATAAAAGCCTTGAACCTTGAACTTGAATCACGAATAGAGTTCATGGAAGGAGCTTTAAAAGCCTAAGCGAGCTATAACTGCTGTACCTGAGTGACCTCCCCTCTCAGGGTCTCGATGCTCCGCGAGTCTCCGTCCTGCAGGATGTTCAGTTTGGAGCGAGCAAGATGAAGAGGAGTCCGTCCGGCTCGGTCCAGAGCGTCCACACGGGCTCCTAAACACACAATAAAAGCACAAATCTTCAATAATTTCCAAGGATTCTTGATTGTGATTGAATACAAATCACGGTAGAGTGTTATAGAGCAGGATTGGGTCCTTAAAACTTGATATAAACTGGCATTTTAACACGTCCGATTCCCTCATCTCAGAGTCAATGTTTATTTTTATGGTTTTTGTTAGATGAAGGGGTTAATACCAAGCCCCCAGGAAGTGCTCCGGACTCTGTTCCCACAATTCGTAGTGTCCAAACGGCGGTACTGCAACTTCCGTATCAGTCCGTGACGTCCCTAGGCCCGGAAAGACTTTTTCCCATTGACTAACATTGGGAAAGTGACGTCTGTATATCGTTGGATTTTTTTAACCAAATAAACTACCCAGTATGAACGTTTGTATAGCCCTTATTAAAAACATTCGGTCCTCAAGTTGTAAAATGTGCTAATAACGTTATTCTGAGAGTTATTTTCCTCTGCATTATAAACGCGCATCGAAACCACGGGACGGCTTGATGTGAACGAGCATTTTAGTTAAAGTTGCGCATGCTCTATGAGCGCACATACGGGTACTTCTCAGGCATGCTGGGTAATCTGTGACGTTTCACTCTCTCAAAAGTTGGGCCATTTTGTCCTCATGCACCAAAGAGCAGCTCTCATAAAGAACGAGGCCCCGCCTCCTACGCTGTATCCAGTTCTTATTATACATCCATGGTCAATACAAGCCAAGCTGTTTTCAATTAGTCATGAAATGTAGGAGAAAAATATGGGTTTCTTTGTTCTTTGTTGTTTTTATTACATTTATTTACTGAGAAACCGTAAAAAACACACATTTTTGCAGCATTTTTTTTTCTGCATGAGGATTTTTGTAGACCTCATAATATTTTCTAACTTACACTTAAACATTCCCTGTGGTACCTCTTTTTTGGGGGAAATGAGAACCATAATAATTTATTTATCCCGGGTTTTGTGACAATTTCTTAATTTTAAGATGAAAAAAAAAAAAAGTTAAATACAAAATAAATAAAGATATTTATATAAACATAATAAGTTCAAGTAAAATGTCAAAAAAAGATCAAACGGAATAAAAATATTAACAGAAAGTAAAATGAATTGTTGTACACTACAATATATGTCAATGTGCCTTTACTTCCTGCTCATACATATATTGGTTTTACTGCACATTCATAATTAAACTTTGATTTTGTATACATATGCTTATTCTATTATTTTTTTTAAGTATTTTAATTTAATTATTAGTGTGACTGAGCTCTCACCTCCTCTCAGCAGCGTGGTGATCACAGGCACGTGGTTGGTGCAGGCCGCTGCACACACACAGGGTAATAAGCAGAAGTTACAACACACATATACACAAAGAGAAAAGGTTTGAAAACTCCTGCTGCAAGAAAACCATCACTAAAACCTTTGCTGTATGTCCTTCATCTGATAACTATCTGCAGCTGCCAAAGGTGGGAAGTAGTGGAGTACAAATACTTCGTTACTGTACTTCAGTACATGTTTCTGGTATCAGTACATTACTCCACTACTTACTTTTCTGACGAGTTTTAACTTTGACTTCTTACATGTTGAACCCAAATACCTGTACTTTCTACTTCTTACATGTTGAACTCAAATACCTGTACTTTCTACTTCTTACATGTTGAACTCAAATACCTGTACTTTCTACTTCTTACATGTTGAACTCAAATACCTGTACTTTCTACTTCTTACATGTTGAACTCAAATACCTGTACTTTCTACTTCTTACATGTTGAACTCAAATACCTGTACTTTCTACTTCTTACATGTTGAACTCAAATACCTGTACTTTCTACTTCTTACATGTTGAACACAGATACCTGTACTTTCTACTTCTTACATGTTGAACACAAATACCTGAACTTTCTACTTCTTACATGTTGAACACAAATACCTGTACTTTCTACTTCTTACGTGTTGAACTCAAATACCTGTACTTTCTACTTCTTACATGTTGAACTCAAATACCTGTACTTTCTACTTCTTACATGTTGAACTCAAATACCTGTACTTTCTACTTCTTACATGTTGAACACAAATACCTGTACTTTCTACTTCTTACGTGTTGAACTCAAATACCTGTACTTTCTACTTCTTACATGTTGAACTCAAATACCTGTACTTTCTACTTCTTACATGTTGAACTCAAATACCTGTACTTTCTACTTCTTACATGTTGAACACAAATACCTGTACTTTCTACTTCTTACGTGTTGAACTCAAATACCTGTACTTTCTACTTCTTACGTGTTGAACTCAAATACCTATACTTTCTACTTCTTACATGTTGAACTCAAATACCTGTACTTTCTACTTCTTACGTGTTGAACTCAAATACCTGTACTTTCTACTTCTTACATGTTGAACTCAAATACCTGTACTTTCTACTTCTTACATGTTGAACACAAATACCTGTACTTTCTACTTCTTACATGTTGAACCCAAATACCTGTACTTTCTACTTCTTACATGTTGAACTCAAATACCTGTACTTTCTACTTCTTACATGTTGACCTCAAATACCTGTACTTTCTACTTCTTACATGTTGAACCCAAATACCTGTACTTTCTACTTCTTACATGTTGACCTCAAATACCTGTACTTTCTACTTCTTACATGTTGAACTCTAATACCTGTACTTTCTACTTCTTACATGTTGAACTCAAATACCTGTACTTTCTACTTCTTACATGTTGAACTCAAATACCTGTACTTTCTACTTCTTACATGTTGAACTCAAATACCTGTACTTTCTACTTCTTACATGTTGAACTCTAATACCTGTACTTTCTACTTCTCTCATGTTGAACTCAAATACCTGTACTTTCTACTTCTTACATGTTGAACCCAAATACCTGTACTTTCTACTTCTTACATGTTGAACTCAAATACCTGTACTTTCTACTTCTTACATGTTGAACACAAATACCTGTACTTTCTACTTCTCACATGTTGAACTCAAATACCTGTACTTTCTACTTCTTACATGTTGAACTCAAATACCTGTACTTTCTACTTCTTACATGTTGAACACAAATACCTGTACTTTCTACTTCTTACATGTTGAACTCAAATACCTGTACTTTCTACTTCTTACATGTTGAACACAAATACCTGTACTTTCTACTTCTCACATGTTGAACTCAAATACCTGTACTTTCTACTTCTTACATGTTGAACTCAAATACCTGTACTTTCTACTTCTCACATGTTGAACTCAAATACCTGTACTTTCTACTTCTTACATGTTGAACTCAAATACCTGTACTTTCTACTTCTTACATGTTGAACTCAAATACCTGTACTTTCTACTTCTTACATGTTGAACACAAATACCTGTACTTTCTACTTCTTACATGTTGAACTCAAATACCTGTACTTTCTACTTCTTACATGTTGAACTCAAATACCTGTACTTTCTACTTCTCACATGTTGAACTCAAATACCTGTACTTTCTACTTCTTACATGTTGAACACAAATACCTGTACTTTCTACTTCTCTCATGTTGAACTCAAATACCTGTACTTTCTACTTCTCACATGTTGAACTCAAATACCTGTACTTTCTACTTCTTACATGTTGAACACAAATACCTGTACTTTCTACTTCTCTCATGTTGAACTCAAATACCTGTACTTTCTACTTCTTACATGTTGAACTCAAATACCTGTACTTTCTACTTCTTACATGTTGAACTCAAATACCTGTACTTTCTACTTCTTACATGTTGAACACAAATACCTGTACTTTCTACTTCTCTCATGTTGAACTCAAATACCTGTACTTTCTACTTCTTACATGTTGAACTCAAATACCTGTACTTTCTACTTCTTACATGTTGAACTCAAATACCTGTACTTTCTACTTCTCACATGTTGAACTCAAATACCTGTACTTTCTACTTCTCACATGTTGAACTCAAATACCTGTACTTTCTACTTCTTACATGTTGAACTCAAATACCTGTACTTTCTACTTCTTACATGTTGAACTCAAATACCTGTACTTTCTACTTCTTACATGTTGAACCCAAATACCTGTACTTTCTACTTCTTACATGTTGAACTCAAATACCTGTACTTTCTACTTCTTACATGTTGAACTCAAATACCTGTACTTTCTACTTCTCACATGTTGAACTCAATACCTGTACTTTCTACTTCTTACATGTTGAACACAAATACCTGTACTTTCTACTTCTTACATGTTGAACTCAAATACCTGTACTTTCTACTTCTCACATGTTGAACTCAAATACCTGTACTTTCTACTTCTCACATGTTGAACTCAAATACCTGTACTTTCTACTTCTCACATGTTGAACTCAAATACCTGTACTTTCTACTTCTTACATGTTGAACTCAAATACCTGTACTTTCTACTTCTTACATGTTGAACTCAAATACCTGTACTTTCTACTTCTCACATGTTGAACTCAAATACCTGTACTTTCTACTTCTCACATGTTGAACTCAAATACCTGTACTTTCTACTTCTTACATGTTGAACTCAAATACCTGTACTTTCTACTTCTTACATGTTGAACTCAAATACCTGTACTTTCTACTTCTCTCATTTTCCAAACAGCTGGTTCCTTTAGTCTGAATGTGTGTTTGGTGCGTGATCATTATTCTTTAGAGTCATTGCGTGCCTATTGATTTGAACACGATCCGTGTATCCATCATTTCCTGGTCTTCTCTAAAGAAGAAGGACCAATGGAAACGTTGTCATGTTGCCGTTGTTCAGCATGGAAACATTCATTAGCTAACAACGACATTATTGTTCTATTAATATAAAGGGAGGTCAGGTACTCTTTAAAACAGCTGCTAGTTATGGGTACTTTTTACTGAAGTACATTTCAAAGCTCTTTACTTTGACTTGAGTAAAGAAGTTTAGTCAGTACTTCGAGTATTTTTACACACGAGTATCTGTACTTCTACTTGAGTAAAGGATGTGTGTTCTGTCAGTGTGTGAGAGTGAAAGCAGCAGACTGTTCTCTCACCCAGGTGCAGGGGGGTGTTCCCCAGACTGTCTCTCTGGTTGGGGTCCGCGCCGTGGCTCAGCAACAGTTGCACTACACACATTTGGAAAAAAAGGAGGTTAAAGTTTTATATATATATATACTTATAAAATACTTATATAACTACTTCAAACTTTCCAATTTCTACCGTTTATCTCACTCATTTCTGTTCAATGATTCCTCTTTCAGAACGGCACAGCTCTTCCCTCTAAATCCTGAAACACTGCACATATCTTAGTCTTTCATCATTGTTGTTGTACTTACTTTTTTGTATATTTATTGTAAGCATTTCTTTCTATTAGTTTTAATACAAACAATTATGGATTATTTATTTTAACTTCTACACCTGCTTCTTATTTTTCATTCTCTACAAAGCAAATTCATTGTACGTGTAAACCTACTTGACAATAAACATGATATTAATTCAAAACGTAGAGTAAATTACATTTAAAAAAACACCAAGAGATTATTCAAAATAAGTGAATAATACGTTTTTTTATTATAAATAGGTGTTTTATTTTATGTGAAAATGATCTTATATTGTTATAAGTTATAACTAAAGCTTACAAAATCAATTCAGTAAAGGGAAAGTAACAAAATGTCACTTTGAATTATGAATTGAAGTAAAAAAAAAAGGCCTTGAAAGAAAGTAAAGTACAAGTTATGCTCCAACCCTGATGCAGTGTAAATGATTTCCTATGATACTGTCATGGCAACTGACTCTTATTGTTTGGTTTGTGTGTTTTTTTAATGCAAAAACCATCTAATATTGTTTATAAGTAATATTAACTAAAGCTTATTTTTTACTGCAGTGAGAGTTGCCAAAGAAATGTCGTTGTACTTTGTATGGTGACCAATACAGATATATTCTATTCTAAAGTACAAGTTATGCTCCAACCCTGATGCAGTATGGAGACACAAAGTCCCTCCCTTTCCGGTGACCTCCATGGGACCTTATTTCGGAAAAATTATGGATTGAAGTCATTGGTGAGAGAAAAATTATCTTTCGATCCCGTTTGAATTGTGCCATGAATTACACATGATGTTTGTCAATCTTAAAAAATCATTTCCATGTCAAAAAACTCACAGTTTGTCGTAAAACTGTTGAAATATGGAAATATGGACTATGAAAAATATGCAACTAGAAAGACTACAAATCCCAGAGTCGCGTAAGTGATGTCATGACTGATGTCGTAATTTATTCCCTCCACCGGAACCGACTAACTCCCCTTTTGTGTATACAGCTCTCAACATGCCCAGACTTGTAGTGATTTTCAAATGTGCCAACGTGACGTCCGTCTTGGTGTTGGTGACGTGTGTCGTGCGAGACCAGAGATGTAGTTCATTGAGTGGTTTCACACAAACAAAAGTGTTACTTCACAGTTTTACGACAACATTTTTTTTTCTTGACTTGCAAAATTATCTTTTGGATTGACAAACATCATATGTGTAATTCGTGGCACAATTCAAACGGGATCGAAAGATATCTTTTCTCTCCCCATTGACTTCAATACATAATTTTTCTGAAATAAGGTCCCATGGAGGTCCACCGGACTTCGCCTCTCTATACATGGTTTCCTTTAATGCTGTCCCGATCAGTTTAACCACCGACCCACCGATGCTCTCGTTGCCGTTGCAGGAGGAGAAATGGAGGGCCGTCCTCCCTTTGTCGTCGGCGGCACACGGGTCGATGTCGTCCTGCAGGAGCTTCCGGACTGGGAGAACACAATCAGAAAAACACAACTGTTAGAGCCAGTATTTCGTTTTTATAAGAAAGGCCATCTAATTGTGACGTCTGTAGTCAACACACTATAAAAGACTACAGTTCCCACGGTGCCTCTCTAAAGTGACAGTGATGGGCAGCAACCTGCTAGAAAGACACCGTCGAGGAACAGTTTTTAACCGTCCAATTACCCTTTAAATTATCAAGTTATATAAGCCTCATCAAGAAAGAAAGAACACCCAAGTTGTTTGTTATTTTATTTGAGTTTTGCCGATTGGTTTTGAATATTGTAAAGGTCTCTTTTCTTAGTTGCATGTGTAAAAGTTATTTTATTTTGAGCAAACACATCGCATAACATCGTCTAATAGAATAGAATCATTTAATGTCATTAAACATGTCCACTGAAAGAAAGAAAAGCTTCTCCCTTTTAAAAGTGCCATCAAAACATACGACAACAAATACACGCAGTATACATACTTATGTAAGAATAACGTGCAGTCATTATTTCCAGGGGTACAAAAAAAGAAATGTAATAAATAATAATAGGTTTGTATTTATAATAATGATATATATGTATAAATATACACAGTCATGTTTGTTGCACATGGAGGATGATTAAGGGGTTCAGGAGTTTAGTGCAATGGTGGCTCAGATCGGAGGCCAAGCAACTCTTCAAACTGTAACTAATATAAAGGAAGAAAACGAGTTAAAATGTCTGTTTAAGAAAAACAAGGAAGGAAGCCACGACAGCAACCTTTATTAATCATAGACATGTTACTGCATCCCCAGCACTGTCCAAGATTCAAAGGCTTGTTTGCCTAAAGCACAACAGTCAGGCTCCTCCTATAATGCAACATATACCTAAGGCAGGGGTGTCAAACTCAAGGCCCGTGGGCCAAATCCAACCCGCGGCCTCATTTGATGTGGCCCGCAAGAGTTTGCAAAGAATATAATATTCAATCCAATTGGTGTAATTGTTGAATATTTGCTTTCTATTATTTACCCTAGACTTCTGCTTTCAGACGTAGTTATTTATGAAGTTATTACCGGAACTGAATGATCCAATGCAGAGCCAATAATGTCATATGATATAATACATTATTTAATATATATTTATATAGGGAAGCAAAGAGTGTGCAAAGCTGTCATCAAGGCAAAAGGGGGCTAATTTGAAGAATCTCAAATATAAATAATATTCTGGATTTTTTAACACTTTTTTGTTTGCTAGATAATTCCATATGTGTTCTTTTATAGTTTGTATGTCTTCAGTATTCATCTACAATGTAGAAAATTATTAAAATAAATAAAAACCTTCGAATGAGAAGGTGTCCAAACTTTTGACTGGTACTGTATATTTATATAGTTACACCGTTTGAGTGTAACCATTGTCACGCCCTGGCTCAAGGACGGACAAAGGAAGGAGACCAAACATGATTCATCCAATTGAAGTGCATTTATTTAAAGAAACTAAATTAACTATGAAGTCAGTTAATCAGTAATGTGTGTGGGTGTGAACATGCATCAGTATATAAAGAACCAACCAACCAACCAACCAACCAAGGTCCAGTAGAGCCAAGCAACCCAAGAGGAGAGAAAGACTGACTTTCTGCTCAGGCACCCATACTTGTAGCTGAGCAGTCAACCCAAATCAGGTGTCAGCAATCTCTCCTGATTTGGGGAGTGGCTAACCAGGGACCTGAGTCTAAGGCCAAGGGGCCGTCACACCATAATGCTAACGTGACCCGCCATGACATTGAGTTTGACACTCCTGACCTAAGGCATAAAACAAAACTGAGACAATGGTGCTAGTGAAATGCATGAAATAAAATAAGATAATACCAAATGTAAAATAAACGCTGTATAGTGGAATAAAATACGTCTTTTTGTAATAATATATAAATATGTGGACTGTTCACCTGTGTCGATGTCGTTGCTGTTTGCTGCTTCCCTCAGTCGCTTCACCGCTGGGGAGATAAGATATTCAAAGTGATAATGATGTAAATATTGCGGCTGGATGAATGGGAACAGACAAACAAAGGCTAACACTGGGATAGTTACTAGCTTCTCTGAGCAACACATGATATGATGCAAGTACCTTCAATTGGGGCAAAATTCACAAACTACAATATTAAATGAATATGAAATGTATTTGTTGGTGATAAAAGCAGAATAATAATATTTTGGAAATGTTACCATTGATACTTGAAGTACATTTAGCTGATATTATTTCTGTATTTAGGGAATGCATTCAATTCAGGACTTGTACTTGTAATGGAGTGTTGTGGGAGCGTAGTATTTCTACTTTTACTACAGGATCTGAGTACTTCTTCCACCACTGTACACACATAAAGCTGAGCTTGATTTGTTGCAGGTATTTTGTTAAACAAATGTAGCCTACACCTAGCTCTGAGATCCTTTACTTAAGTAAAGTAGAAATACTATGGACTTAAAATACTCAATTACAAGTACAAATCCTGAATTCAAAATGTTGAGTAGAGAAGTATTATCAGCTAAATGTACTCCAATTATAAAAGTAAAAGTACTCAGTTTTCAGAATGGCTCTTTTCACAGAATCATATTATTTTAGAATAGTGTTTTTATTTTGTTAAATCAGAAACAAATATATGTCACATATTTTGTATCTTGAAGTCTGTCAGAGTTGAGCCAATTCAATTAACTTTTTTAAATACCTGGTACATTTTTAGAACAGTACTGCATCATATCATATGCATATCCTGTCTAACTATATGTACAAAGTAGCTAGTAACTATAAGTGTTAAATAGATATAGTACAATATTAGTCACTTAAATGTAGTGGAGTAGAAACAGGACAACGTGGAAAAACTCAAGAGCAGTACAAGTATGTCAAAATAGAAAAATGTTATGTGTCTGTTGATTGTAGGATATACATATTTTATATACATTTGTATTTTTGTATTTAGGATTGTGGGAAACGGTATTTCGATCTCTCTCTGTCTGTACACAAACTGAAAGATTGACAATACAGTTGACTTTGAATAGATATAGTACAGTATTTGTCACTTAAATGTAATGGAGTAGAAACAGGACAACGTGGAAATACTCAAGAGGAATACAAGTATGTCAATATAGAAAGTACTTGAGTAAATGCCCTTTTAATAGTTTTGTTCATTTTTCTAGTTGAGTTAAATATGACTGAAACTGAAAGATTGACAATAAAGTTGACTTTGAAAATACTTTGTAAATGCACTTTAAATAGTTTGGTTTCTTTTTCTAATTAAGTTAAATGTTACTCACCATAGATATCTTTCCCCAGAGGCCCCAGGTTTCGGCTCAGCCTGTGGTTCCTCCTGCAGCTCACCTTCCCCGCCCGGCTGCTCAGAGCCTCGCCCCCCCGCTCCCACAGCAGGTGCAGCACCCTCAGCTCCGTGTCGTCCCTCTGACCGACCCGACCCAGAACCAGCTTCCCCTCCCCGGTGCCGCTCATCCCGAACCCCATAGCAGCAGAAGAACCAGAAGCAGCAGAAGCAGTGGTTCCTCCAGAGGGGGCCATGCTCTCTCCCTCCCCCGCCTCCAGGCTCCCATCCTGGGCTCCGGGCTCCAGCATGTACTCCCCCTCGGAGCTGGAGCGCTCAGTATCCGAGGCCACGATTGGGCTCCACCCGTCCATATGTTATGGATGTTTACACAACTAGAGAGAATCAGAGTCAGAATATTATATAACCACCACGGCCCTTAGTAGACCCCCCCCCCCCCACACACACACACACAACAACACAGACTATAAGATAATACTTTATTTATCCCGAAGGAAATTGTTGTGCCAGAGTTACAAAAATACAATAAAACACAGCAGCATAATAATAAAACTGTACACTAACAGTGCCGTAAAAAGAGCAATTCAATATCAGGAAACATAGACGGTCAAATCATTAATGTAAATATTACCAGTAATTAGTAGTGCAAAAAAACAACAACGTAGTGGCAGATACGCAATTGCACGTTTATCATAGCACATTGTTAATAATAATAATAATAATAATAATGCACATGTTGTATAGCAGAGTGTTTTGTAATGATGGTAATAGTATTTATTTTGCACATAGTGGTGGTGTGGAAGTTCTCAGTTCACTTTACTGAAGGGTGATAGAGTTTAAAAAGGTCCCGTATCTTACATACGAGGAATTTGCCTCGGAGTAAATACAACACAGTTAGGGAAGATACAAAGTAAGAAAAACAACCCAAAAATCAAATGTAATATTCACTGCTGACTATAAAACTAAAATATGGATATACCCAAAAACGATGTACAGTATACTATTGCACAGTAGGCTACTCCGAATAATACATTCGTATTACAAATATGTGCAGTATTGTTATGAACATTGAGAGCTGTGTAGATATATAAGAGACACACAGACAGACAGACACACAGACAGACTATTGATCCCAAAGTTAGGAAATGATGTTGTCAAAGCAGCATTTGACAGTCAACATACAGGAATTACAAAAAGACTCAAATAAAATAAAGATAAATACAAAAAATGTCAAAACAATACATACATATTCTCGACCTATAGTCAGAGGAGTATCTAGACATTATAGAATATACAGAATACATTTGAATACTCTCTAATCTACTGTACATATAAACATTATACTGAAACCTCTACTACTACTGCCAAAGAAAAACAGGAAATGAAGCCGTCGGTAATACCTTTCAACCATGGAGCCATTGCACGGGAGGTTAGTCCAAACTGCCCCAAAAAAGTGCTTATATTCCGGGTTATTTGTAGTATTTTCACACCCTTCCTTCTAGCACCAAAATGTCCCCTATTTCACATTTTCCATTATCGGGTAAAGGTATTAAAAAGCGCTCCCATTGGACAGTCAGCAGCTCTGAGTCAGTGACAACCAATCAGAGTCCGTGTTGTTCAGTAGCTCCCCTCAAATAGAAGCGATAGAAGCGAGCAGCCAATCAGACACGTTGCTTTACACATGCGCACTGTGGTTGAAATCGGAATTTATTTAATATTTTGAAGGGACAATTGTTCCATTTACGATTTAAAAAAATATAAATATAAAACAAATAAAAGAATATATATATTAAAATAAGAAGTCAAAGTAACCATTTTGGAATAAAAAGAGAAATAATAAAATATATATTTAAATTAATAATGGTCCACAAAACACATTTATTTTATTTAAAAACAGTCTTTTTAATATATGTTTCATCAGGCAACCTCATGTTAAATGTAGAATCCATAATCGTTTTTTAACACCCACCCTCCACCTATAAAGCTTCAGATAATTTAGATTTAAAGTGGACCTATCATGCTATATTTGAATAATATATTGTAGGGCCATAAAACATGTCTGTGAAGTTTTTTTTCCAAAATACCAAACAGATCATGCATTTCGCTCTATTTGCTGTATTCCAGCCCTGTTTTTGCTGATTCTGTGGCAAATGAGCAGCAGCTGACCTCGCCCCCCTGCAAATGAGGGGGGGGGCGAGGCACGAGCGTCATGTTTCCATGCTGTTACCATGCCACGCAATCTCTCATTCCCCTGATAGGTGGGAGAGTTGGTCATATAATAATAATAATATATTTTATTTCTATAGCGCTTTTCTTGAACCCAAAGACGCTTTACATTTGGGAGGGAGGGTACACAAACAAAACAAAGACAATGCCAAAAAGAAACAAAACAAAACAGAAAAGCAGTCAGGAGGAAGTTGATTGAGAGGGGGGGGGGGGCTTATGGATACAGAGTTGAAGAGGTGGGTATTGAGGCGGGACTGGAACAGGGTGAGGGACTCAGACTCACGGAGGTATTGGGGGAGGGAGTTCCAGAGCTTCGGGGCTGCCACAGAGAAGGCTCTGTCCCAGAAGCTCCGGAGTTTGGCCTTGGGGATGGAAAGCAAACCGGCTGAGGTGGATCTGAGGGACCGGGGTGGTTGGTAGAGGATGAGGAGGTCAGTGAGGTAGGGGGGGCCAGATGGTGGAGGGCTTTGTAAGTGAGGACCAGGAGTTTGTAATGGATGCGGTGTGAAACGGGGAGCCAGTGGAGTTCTTTGAGGACCGGGGTGATGTGATGCCATGATTTGGTGTGGGTGAGGAGTCTGGCGGCTGCGTTCTGGACACGCTGGAGTCTACTGAGGGAGGTGGAGCTGATGCCGTAGAGGAGTGAGTTGCAGTAGTCAAGGCGGGAGGAGATGAAGGCGTGAATGAGTCGCTCAGCTGCAGGGCGGTGAGAGAGGGACGGAGTTTGGCAATATTGCGGAGGTAGAAAAATTAGGTTTTTACAACTTGACGGATGTGGGGCTCGAGGGAGAGGGTGGGGTCAAATATAACACCAAGGTTGCGTGCCTGGGTGGAGGGGGAAACAGGGGTGCCATCAATGGTGACTGTCAGGTTGGGGGTTTTGCTGAGGGTGGATTTGGAGCCGATGAGGAGGAGTTCAGTTTTATTGCTGTTGAGTTTGAGGAAGTTGTGTTGCATCCAGGATTTTAGTGCAGTCACACAGGATTCGATGTGGGTGAGGGGGGGGGGGGGGGGGGGGGGTTCTGGGGGATTTGGTGCTGAGGTAAATCTGGGTGTCGTCGGCGTAACAGTGAAAGTACAGGTTGTATTGGCGGAGAATCTGACCAAGGGGGAGGATGTAGATGATGAAGAGGAGGGGGCCGAGTACTGAACCTTGGGGAACACCTTGGGTGACTGAAGCTGTGGCAGAGGAGTGGTTGTTGAGGGAGATGAAGTGGGATCTGTCGGAGAGGTAGGACTGGAGCCACCTGAGTGCAGTACCTTCGATACCGATGTCCTGGAGTCGGGTAAGCAGGATGGAGTGGCTCACGGTATCGAAGGCTGCACTCAGGTCGAGGAGGATGAGGATGTTGAGGATATAGGCAGAGCTCCCCGTTTCTGACGTCAGAACAATTTCAAATCGGGATCAGTCTGTATCAGATCCGTTGATGCCCCGTTTTTAGAGATTTGGGTATGGATGAAAAGAGATAGGGTTGTGTTTTTTGACACTTGGCGAGTTCCCTGACACACCGGGGACACATATTCATGTATAAAAGACGTACAAAAGTGCATTTTGCATGATAGGTCCCCTTTAAAGTAGAATCAAGGCAAGGCAAGGCAATTTTATTTATATAACACTTTTCAGCACGTGGCGATTCAAAGTACTTTACAGATTAAAAGCAAAATACATTTAAGAACAAATACAGCATTACATACATTATTAAAAAGCCATTTAAAAACAGGCATAATAAGCAAAGGTAATGACATTAAATAAATAAATAAACAGCAGGTACAGAATACATTGTGATACATGTGAGTATGGGCAGCTCAATTAAAAGCAGCGGCAAATAGGTGCGTTTTTAGTCTGGATTTAAAAATAGGAATTGTTTCGGCGGACGTGACGATTTGGGCAGTTTGTTCCATATTATTGGTGCATAATAACTAAAAGCTGCTTTTCCATGTTTAGTGGTTATTCTCGGAACAGAGACCCGACCCAGAAGACCTGAGACTCCTGGATGCTTCATAGTGATGGAGTAGGTCGTCTATATACCTCGGTCCTAAGCCATTTAGCTATTTAAAAACTAGCAGTAGTATTTTAAAATCAATTATTTGGCAGACTGGAAGCCAGTGTAATGATCTCAGAACCGGACTGATGTGATCCACTTTCTAGTGTCAGTGAGGACTCGAGCAGCAGCGTTCTGAATCCGCTGCAGCTTTCTGATAGATTTTTTAGTGAGCCCTGTGAATACAATATTGCAGTAGTCGAGTCTACTGAAAATAAAAGCATGGACAAGTTTTTCTAAATCCTGTTGCGACATTAGTTCTTTAATCCTTGATATATTCTTCAGGTGGTAGTATGCAGACCTAATAACTGTTGTTATGTGACTGTTAAAATTCAGGTCTGAGTTCATCCCTACACCCAGATTTCTTGCTTTGTGAGTTACTCTGTAGTCTGCCGACTGAAGCTCTGTGATTACTTTTAATCGGTCCTTTTTTGCTCCAAAAACAATGATCTCAGTTTTTTGTTTGTTCAATTGGAGAAAGTTCTGAGTCATCCAGTCAGTGATGTGCTCAATGCACTTGCTCAGTGTTCTAATCAGAGAGTAGTCTCCCGGTGTAATTTTAAAATAAATCTGGGTGTCGTCTGCATAGATGTGATAGCTTAGATCGCTCTTTTTAATAATTTCAGCCAGAGGTAGCATATAAATATTAAAAAGCAAAGGTCCTAAGATGGAGCCTTGAGGAACCCCACATGACATATTTATCAGGGTTGAATCATTAGGATGTTATTCTGTCAAGGTATTTGGTTTTATGGACACAATCATTATATTCTGTATATATTCATGGATGCAAAAACAAGAAAGAACTTATATAATATTTCAAGAAAAAGTATATATTTATTCTGAATGACATTGCTGCTCAGCGGCTCAAACTAAGGCGGTAAAATAGACTTCTTTAAATCACAAATACATCCTTTATGCTCACATTTTAAACATCTTTTAATCACAGGTATAGTTAAAAGGGTTATCACTGTTTAGCTCGCTATAATAATTAATCTTATGGTTGCATTAGCTGGTATCCTCCAAAGATGGCCGACATGCTGTTGATGCCGTCACATTCCCAATTGTTGTGAAACTAAGGCAGTAAAAGTAGACTATCATATTTTGGTTTTAATTGATGAAACATCTCAATGATTGAAACGGACTGTGAGACAAAGCTCAGCTCCAGTCTCAAACTCTAAACACATGTTCTACTTTGCAAACAATTTACAATTCACAGTGTGTCTTTATCCTCATACAGAGCACAGCTGACTTCCTGTTTAAAACAACAACAACAACAACAACAACAACGTTAGCCAGCATAGCAGCGAGAGGTGTGTTATCCAAAACCTGTTTCACCAGTTCTTGTTTTCTTTGCTGCTTGGAATATGCTCTGATCTGATTTACACAGCAAAAAGCAACGTTTCTTTGGGACGTTTCTCCTCGTGGACCTGGAAGATAAACAGGAAAACACTTTTATTAAATAACCAACAATCACTTCATTCAGAGGTCTTATAAATGTAGTGACTCTGCTACTGATAACATCTGCTCTGTGAATCACTTCCTGTCTTCTGCTTTAAGGAAAACTGAGATATTTGTATTGCTCAACGATCCCAGAGGTGGAGTGTTGTTCACCTAAAAAGTATTAATATGTATGTACTGTATGTACTTATACAATATATGTACTTAATATGTAACAGCTCCTCGTGAATCACCTAAACGACTACACCTATGTTTTATATATGTTGTTGAATCATCCAAAATGTTTCAGAGACATTTCAATGTTTCTGTTAGCCTGACACCATCTTACACACAGAGGCATTCAATTCTATGTCGTTTTTTTAAAAAGTATTGTTTGGTCCTGTTATAGGATTACCTGTCTAAAGATTCAGGTGTTTGTTACGGTGAGAAGGAAACTGGAGCCTGGAATTATGAAAGGCACAAAGTTCAGCTCAATGAACACAAACTACAATTCCAGAGCAGAGCATCGTGAGACAAAATCTAAATTCAATTGAGTCTACACAGTAGAACTAGCCAATCACAGCACAGTATTACAAGCCAATCACAGTAACAGCCAATCACAGCACAGCAGAATCATTTTTTTTTTTTAAATTGTAGTTCCTGTTCTTTATTTGTGTTTCTTCTCTTTGCAACATCACACCACAACAAATTCCTTGCATGTGAAAAACCTAATTGGTAACAAACTGAATCCTAACTCTGATACGAGTTGGTAAATTAAACGTCTGCAGAATTATGGTGACAAATCTTTGTTCAAGAAAAGCTTTCAGTGCAATTGATTGTTTGTTTTTAATGAAAGATATACTGTCAAATCATTTGATATTGAGGACAGAAAGTCTCATCATTCTTGATTATTTTCCGAAATGCCTCCACGCTCCTCTTCACGTGTCAAACACGCCCCGTCATAACTAAACTGTGAACAAATCAAACCTGAGCTTGCAGATTTCTCTGGATCCCAGAAAAACACTGACTAATAACTACATTTTAATCAGTGGTGAAACCTCATCAATAAACTCCACACGGTGCAGCTGCTTCTCTCTCACCTCTCTGTCTGGCTTCACTTCCTGTTCCACACCTGAGTCACTTGATGGAGGGAAGAAGTGACAGAAAAGACATCAATAATAATAAAATTAATTAAAACAAAATAATAATAATAATTAAACAAAGAGAAACATTAGAATCCTAAATGATTGAGAGAGCTGTAACAAGATGGAGTTAAAACATGTTTCTGTTGAACCTTTTAGGATCAGAGTTTAATGGTTTGATGAATGGAGGATATGGTTTCAATACTCACAGTTCTTCTGGGTCTTGGCTCTGATCGTCTCTCCTCTGATCCTGTAGGGATGAACACAATCCAACAGTTTTGGATCCAGTTTAAAATAAGAGTTTGTTCTTTGAGCTTCAGAGTCCTGACTGATCTAAGGCTTTACATCCCATCATATCTTCTCTGCAAACACTACGACTGACTGCTCTCAGCTGCATCACAGGAAATAACTGCTCAGTAATCTAGAAACAAATAACATGACAGGAAAACAAAATAGACTACCTTTATCACTCTTTTGTAAAATCCCATATGTCTGTTAGAAAGTTGCTTAATAACTAATTAGCTTTGCTTACAATATATTGTTTTTGGAAGAATAAAAGGAAGAGCCTGCAGTCAGTGGGTAACATCACTGACTTGTCCACATCCAGTGAGAGAAACACATCCACCTCCCTGTGTTTAATACAAAACTGCTGAACCAGCAGAGAGCCCTTACTGACCTGAGAGTCTCCAGTCTGCAGTCTGGACTCTCCAGAAGATCTCTCAGCAGCTCTCCTGAATCCTTCAGATTGTTCCGACTCAGGTCCAGATCTCTCAGATGGGACGGGTTGGACTTCAGAGCTGAGGCCAGAGCAGAACAGCTGATATCTGACAACCTGCAGCGCTCCAGTCTGAATAAAGAAAACATGATGTAACTTTAGAAAACAATGTTCCTGTTTGAAATAACTTAAAATTAAATAATCTGATCAGAGCCGAAGACGGTTTTAACGTCAGCAATGATGTAGAAACAAATCCCTGATAATCTGGAACTCTCTGCAGCAGTTTCTCTCATCAGATGTTTAACAACTCCTTCTTGTCCCTCACAGCTCATCAGTACTGACAGCATCTCCACTGACTCATGGAGCACAGAGAGTCTGTGGAAGCTCAAACTCTCTCCCTCACACATTCACCTTCTCTCATCTTTCTTATTCTGATCAATATTCAACCATTATCAAAAACAGAACAAAATAATTTAAATGTATTTGTTCTCTGGAAAATTAGACAAATAATGAATATTCAAAAAAAGATGTATACATAATTATAATAATGTTATTATTATATACAGTTATTGAACTGACCTGAGGGTCTCCAGTCTGCAGTCTGGACTCTCCAGAAGATCTCTCAGCAGCTCCACTCCTGAATCCTGCAGAGCGTTGAGACTCAGGTCCAGATGTCTCAGATGGAGGTTGGACTTCAGAGCTGAGACCAGAGCAGAGCAGCTGATCTCTGACAAACTGCAGCTCCTCAGACTGAATAAAGAAAACATGATGTAACTTTAGAAAACAATGTTCCTGTTTGAAATAACTCCAGGTTTAATAATCTGTTCAGAGATGAAGAAGGTTAGAAAGTGGAAACTCCAAACAGGTAAAACTGTAATCAATCAATCATCTTTATTTAAAGAGACTCTTGGTCCATTATTACAAAAACATACAACACTCAAATATAAATTAAAAAAGGCAGTTATACCAATGTTTCCACAGAGGTGACTGGTATCGTACAGCACTGAAACACGGATTTGACAGCAGCATAAGTTATGAGAAACATTCAATCGACAGATGAAATTTGTACATTAGAGAGAAAGAGCATGGAACGTGTTGACTCGTGCGTTACAGAACATTTCACTTGCACTGCACCGCCTTGGTTTTCTAAGCAGTATACGCAAACAGTCATTAGGCCTATATGCAACCTGGAGCTTCTTGAGGCTCGCCTTCTTATACTTGACCCACAAGGGGGCAGTATAGAGAGGAGTGCAATAAGCTCTAAAGAGGTTCACCTTAACCTTATCTGTAAGAGACAAAAAGTGAAAAGATCTCTCATTGATATGAAAGACAACGTGCTTCACCTTCAATAATAAAGAGGTGACTTCACATCTGAAACTCTGCTCCATCTACACTAACTCATGATGTGCAGCCAGACCAATACAACCCACAGGAACTGATTCAACTCAAGATCACAACGTTTACAAAGATGACAAATATTTTAGGAGGAATTTTGAAGAAATGTGAAGAAAACGATCCAGAATATTTATTTTAGGAACAGTGGAGTCATCAAATCACAGCATCTTCAGTTTGAAGGGTTCCTGCAGGTTTCAACAACTCAAATGTAACACTTTAAGACATTTTTAAGACCACTTTGTATAGAATTTAAGATCTATTTCATGGCAAGAAAGTATGAAGGAAAATTGCTATTAAAGAAGAAATACGTCCCATAATTACTTTCAAAGTAAATGTATTCACGTTCAACATAAGAACGATGACTGAACATAACAGCATAACAGTACACAGCACTGTGTTATCGTGTTAGACAAAAACTAGAACAAAAAGAAATGCCTAACCGTGAAAGTGTGTATGTATGTGTGACATGAGCTATCTTCTGAGCTCTGCTGCCTTGGCTACAATCTTTCATCGTTGCTGTTGTAGGATTGGTGTTTAGCTAAGTTATTTAGCGTCTACAGCACCTCCGCTTTTAGGGTTGACGTAGACCCAAACGTCGCCCGGAGGCAGTGGTCGTGTTAACCGAATATTTTCCTTCTATGACGGATTTTTTTAACAATGACGGAAAAATCTGAAAGCAGTCTGTCATTTTGACGGATTAGAACAAACTCGGAACAGCGCAAAAATATCCCCGCTGCGAGGCTCCGGTGTTATGCCGTGTTAAGCATGCCCTCCAAAAAGGAAATGATATTGCTTCCAAACCACTGCCGTACAAATCATTGAAATGTCTGGGAGTTTTTGCTTTACGCTGAACGCTCTCCCGTGAGGTGCATGCATATCTCGACGGGCATACATAACACCAGCGCAACGGTTCACGAGCGTGTTCTCGCTAGCTGAAGCTTGGTTGCTAGGTTACTAGCAGGTTGTTCTCCGATAAGGGGCCGAGGGGATGCAAAGTTAGTGATTACTGCTTCCATGTTGATTTATTTCAATACAAATTGTTGGGGGGAACTGAAAGGCTCTTACCGTACTGGTTACTTTGCAGCCCGGACATTTCCCCCAAAACACATTTAGACGTGATCGCAACACAGAAGTAGAATACCTTTCAAATCCGATCATTTTTAAGACCTTTTAAATCATATGTAAGACCTTTATAATTTATTTGACCATATTTTAAGACTTTTTAAGTCCTTAAATTCTGATTATCAAATGTAAGACTTTTTAAGACTCCGCGGGAACCCTGAGTTTGAACTATTCAGTCAGTAAAAGCATCACGTAGCTTCAGAAAACTGAAAAATATGAATGTTTGGGAGTTTAAATAGAAATATTCATTTGTTGTATTTTTTATATAATTTATTTAAAGCGTGCTTCAGAATATAAGATGAGTTTCAGGTGTTTAAGATGAGTGCATTATGCAGGGTAGGAGAGTCAGCATTAAGATGCTCAGCGAGGATCAGTGTGATATCAGCCTGATGTCTGCAGCTCAGAGTCAACACAACTCTCTTCATCTCAGCACAGAAGTTAAAGATGGAGAACTGACCTGAGAGTCTTCAGTCTGCAGTCTGGACTCTCCAGAAGATCACTCAGCAGCTTCACTCCTGAATCCTGCAGCTCGTTCTGACTCAGATCCAGATCTCTCAGGTGGATGTTGGACTTCAGAGCTGAGGCCAGAGAATAACAGCTCATCCTTGACAAACTGCAGTCCTCCAGTCTGAATAAAGAAAACATGATGTAACTTTAGCAAACAATGTTCCTGTTTGAAATAACTCCAGGTTTAATAATCTGTTCAGAGATGAAGAAGGTTAGAAAGTGGAAACTCCAACAGGTAAAAACTGTAATAGACAAAAAGTGAAAAGATCTCTCATTAATATTAAAGACAACGTGCTTCTCCTTCAATAATAAAGAGGTGACTTCACATCTGAAACTCTGCTCCATCTACACTAACTCATGATCCATCTACACAAACTCATGATGTGCAGCCAGACAGATAGGACTGGTTTAGGTCCTATCTATCTGAACGCTCTCAGTTTGTACGTGTCAATGATGAATCTTCCACGCAAACCAAAGTTAGCCATGGAGTGCCACAGGGCTCAGTGCTCGGACCTATTTTGTTCACATTATATATGTTTCCGTTAGGCAATATTATAAGGAATCATTCTGTAAACTTTCATTGTTATGCGGATGATACTCAACTATATTTATCAATCAAGCCTGATGAAATTAATCATCTAAATAAAATTCAAGACTGCCTTAAGGACTTAAAAACGTGGATGACCTTAGATTTTTTTATGTTAAACACGACCAAAACTGAAGTTATTGTACTTGGCCCGAAGAATCTACGAAACAAATTATCTAAAGGATATACTAACTATGGATGGCATTAATTTGGCCTCCAGTGAGACTGTAAGGAATCTTGGTGTTATATTTGATCACGATTTATCCTTTAACGCCCACATAAAATCAATTTCAAGGACCGCCTACTTCCATCTACGTAACATTGCAAAAATCAGGCATATCTTGCCTCAAAACGATGCAGAGAAACTATTCCATGCATTTGTTACTTCAAGGCTGGATTATTGTAACTCTTTATTATCAGGGTGTACCAAGAAGTCAGTCAAGTCGCTTCAGCTGATTCAAAATGCTGCAGCTCGTGTACTAACCAGAGTTAGGAAAAGGGACCACATTACTCCTGTTCTGGCTGCCTTACACTGGCTCCCTATAGAACACAGGATAGAATTTAAAATTCTTCTTCTCGCCTACAAAGCCCTTAATGGGCAGGCGCCATCTTACCTTAAAGAACTCATTATACCCTACTGTCCTATTAGGGCATTGCGTTCCAAGAATGCAGGGTTGTTGGTTGTTCCTAGAGTCTCTAAAAGTACAATGGGAGCCAGAGCCTTTCTTATCAAGCTCCACATTTGTGGAATCAGCTTCCAGTTTGTGTTCGGGCGGCAGACACCCTATCCGTTTTTAAGAGTGCGCTTAAGACCTTCCTTTTTGATAAAGCTTATAGTTAGGGCTGATTAGATTCAGCCCCTAGTTTTGCTGATATAGGCTTAGTTTGTCGGGGGACATCTTACTTCTTCCTTCTCTCTGTCTATACCTGTGTACTCTCATGTTCCGATTAACCCAGCTTCCCCAAATGTCTTTCTTTTTGGTGTCTATATACGCCGGGATCCGGAGTCATGGATGATCCTGCGGTCCTGTGTCCTGCATCGCGAGCCCTGGATCTTGAGTCGTGGCTGTGGTCCTGGATCATAGGTCCTGGATGGATATCCTCGTGGATTCATCTTCCTATTATACACACATGCATTTCCAAACATTTGGACTACCTATGTTGCAAATGTATTATCTTTTCAATTTACACACGGCATCTATTGCACGTCTGTCCGTCCTGGGAGAGGGATCCCTCCTCTGTTGCTCTCCCTGAGGTTTCTCCCATTTTTCCCTTAAACTGTGGGTTTTCTCCGGAAGTTTTTCCTTGTACGATGTGAGGGTCTAAGGACAGAGGGTGTCGTATTGTCATACTGATATTCTGTACACACTGTGAAGACCACTGAGACAAATGTAACATTTGTGATATTGGGCTATATAAATAAACATTGATTGATTGATAAAACCCACAGAAACTGATTCAACTCAAGATCACAACGTTTAAAAAGATGACAAATATTTCAGGAGGAATTTTGAAGAAATGTGAAGACAAATATCCAGAATATTTATATTAGGAATAGTGGAGTCATCAAATCACAGCATCTTCAGTTTGCAGGGTTCCTGCAGGTTTCAACAACTCAAATGTAACACTTTTTAAGACATTTTTAAGACCACTTTGTATAGAATTTAAGATCTATTTCACGGCAAGAAAGTATGAAGGAAAATTGCTATGAAAGAAGAAATACGTCCCATAATTACTTTCAAAGTAAATGTATTCACGTTCAACATAAGAACGATGACTGAACATAACAGTACACAGAACTGTGTTAGCGTGTTAGACGAAAACTAGAACAAAAATAAATGCCTAACCGTGAAAGTGTGTATGTATTAGGGCTGTGCATCTTCCCTGGTCTCACGATTCGATTCGATTACGATTATCCTGTCAACGATTCGATTCAATTCGATATCCCGATGCATCACGATTCATACCAATGCGTTGCATCCTCAATTTTCTATATTACTGCACATGGCTTATTTTTCATCAATGCATACATGCAGTAAATACATATGAACTCTCTTTTTATTATTTAGAAAGTGCTTCAGAAATCAATAACATAAATGTCTTGACATTAATTTATAAACCAAAATAAATAAATTGTATAGGTCTAGCCTCCCTATATCTGTGTGTGAAGTTGTTCCATCCTCAAAAACAAAAAAATAATGCTTCTGCAGTCTAGCTGCAGCTTCTAGCAACGGTCTTCTGTTAAAGAAAGGACACTGAATGTCCTGAATGTGGCATCACACACAGCAGACAACAGGAGTATTTACAATAGCATATACAAACAAAAATACTGCATGTGGGTGCACACTTACATTCTCTGTCTTACTGTTACATAAATCCCATGAATGTATGAGATTAAGTTAGCTTCATTATATCTCAGTGATTAAGTGAATAATAAAGTTTCTATCGGGTCACTATCAGCCTGTCACGCATTATTTTCAGGGAGGGGGCGGGGCTTGGAGCAGCAGAGAGGAGACGGTGATCGCGGAAGCTTTTTTCCTCCTGCCTTCACAAACTTTACACACGTATATATAGTCTGAAAATTACTAGAGGACATTCATACTCTGCAATCCAAGACTTAATTAAATCCACCAAAAACCTGACATGACTGTAACGTGATTATTTTTGAAAAACATAAATCCCTGTGTCTCTGAGCCGCAGCGACACGGAGTGATTCAGAGCGGGTCCTTCTGCTGTTGGTTCTGGACTGGTGTTCTTGTGTTGGTGGATTGACTGCTAACCAGACTGCTCTGTGTTTGGTGTTGCTGTGCCGCTGTCACGTCTGTTCCCTGATCTCTGCGTCACCGACCGATTTGATATTAAAGTGACAGAAAAAAAAAACGTTATAGTAAAGCCGCGGCTGGATAATCAGGAAGCAACGTTACTACGCTATAACCGATTATCTTCCGTCACTGCATCGAGACCGAATCGTCCACGTCCGCATCGCAATGCATCGTAGAAACGATTATTTTCAACACCCCTAGTATGTATGTGTGACATGAGCTATCTTCTGAGCTCTGCTGCCTTGGCTACAATCTTTCATCGTTGCTGTTGTAGGATTGGTGTTTAGCAGTGACGTGCGGTGAGGTTCATGGCTGGTGAGGCACTGACTCTTTCAGCGTCAGATTTACAAATATTATATTTTTGACCGTAATCGAAATATTCGGTTATTTTCAAAAGCTTTTTTAGTCTGATGCTTCAATTCATTTTAAACAGACCGTTCAACAAAAGGATACTCACAATCTAAATATTGGATTGTTCTTTCTTAGTAAGATTCCATTTGCATTACAATTGTGGTCTTACCTTGACTTGAAGATTAAGTCCATGCTATCCTTCTGGACAACAATCTCTATTACTTTTTTGTAAAAGTCCTCCTTATCTTCCTGTAGTTTCAAAAGTCTAGTTTGTTGTTCGCGTCTACCGCTACCGTCTCTGCGTAGAATAACAGTAGCAACAGGAACCTGTGGGCTCACTTGCGCCCCCTTCAGTGCGGCAGAGGTTATGGCTGCCTCCCCTGGTGCTTTTGTCATTGCCGTTGTATGATGAGACCAGCGAGCCTAAATATCATATATATACGTGAAATAAGTTATTTAGAGACTATGGATGGCGAGGATAAATGTAATAAAGCGATCTACAAACATTACATTGGTGACATACAGTGAGATGGTGCAGGCATGCGCTTAGGGCCCGCTTTCCAGCCAGTTTCTGTGGGGTGACGCATTCTGAGGTGAGGCAGAGCTCATCTGAAAGCAGTCTGTCATTTTGACGGATTAGAACAAACTCGGAACAGCGCAAAAATGTCCCCGCTGCGAGGCTCCGGTGTTATGCCGTGTTAAGCATGCCCTCCAAAAAGGAAATGATATTGCTTCCAAACCACTTTGCCGTACAAATCATTGAAATGTCTGGGAGTTTTTGCTTTACGCTGAACGCTCTCCCGTGAGGTGCATGCATATCTCGACGGGCATACATAACACCAGCGCAACGGTTCACGAGCGTGTTTTCGCTAGCTGAAGCTTGGTTGCTAGGTTACTAGCTGGGTGTTCTCCGATAAGGGGCCGAGGGGATGCAAAGTTAGTGATTACTGGTTCCATGTTGAGGGGAACTAAAAGACTCTTACCGTACTGGTTACTTTGCAGCCCGGACATTTCCCCCAAAACACATTTAGACGTGATCGCAACACAGAAGTAGATTACCTTTCAAATCCGATCCGTTTTTAAGACCTTTTAAATCATATGTAAGACCTTTATAATTTCTTTGACCATATTTAAGACGTTTTAAGTCCTTAAATTCTGATTATCAAATGTAAGACTTTTTAAGACTCCGCAGAAACCCTGAGTTTGAACTATTCAGTCAGTAAAAGCATCACGTAGCTTCAGAAAACTGAAAAATATATTATATAATTTATTTAAAGCGTTCTTCAGAATATAAGATGAATTTCAGGTGTTTAAGATGAGTGCATTATGCAGGGTAGGATTCTCAGCATTAAAATACTTGTC